TTTTTTTAACCTTAATCTGCATAAACACATTTCATTACACCAAATACACAAAATAATGTTATTTTTAGCAACATCATATGACCCCTTTAATGCTTCCTTGCTGAATAAAATTAATTAATTTTTTTACAAATCTTACTGAGCCTATACTTTTAAATGATAGTATACTTTCAGATGTCTCTGCATATGCATCTGGGAAATAATAAAGTATAAGTAAGAAAGTATTTTAACATCGAACTAGTACACTTCACAAGTGAACATAAATGTACTAAAAAATTAAAACTCTTTGGTCTCTTTGGGCATTGCGGGAAGCAGCTGTGTATTCTAGAATAATTTGTAAAATTCTAGATGTTCTCCACTCCCGAGACAGTTGTCTCTTTTCCCTGACTCAGAAGCAGGTGCCCGGCGTTTGGCTGGTAGCCACCGTTCTTCAGAGGAGATGAAGGTCAGAACGGAGGGATGAGGAAGAGGAAGAACAGGCTCCTATCAGGCTGCTGTTCTCTGTGATAAGCTGTGAGCTGAGCTGGGGGAAGGGAGAGAGGGGGAGGAATCAGGGAGGAAGATGTGTCCAATCTGCAGGTGCAGGCAGATAGTATTCTTAACCATCTTATTAAAAAACATTGACCTTCACAGGACGCCTCGGAACCGGACCCTGGATCACAGTAATGACTCCGAAAGCTCAGATGGAGAGTGAAGTTTCGTCTCACGAATATCTAAAACCGGAGCTGTAAAGATGCGCTGAAATTTTAAAAAGGGTTTATTTACGTATTTAGAGCTGATGTGCTGAGGGTGTGATCTAGCCCTGATCTAGTGAGGGGTAACAGGAAGGGCAGTGTTTCTAGACCCCTGGAGTTGAGTTGAATCGAGTGTCGCTAGATTCATGTAACCTGACAGAGTTTTTGCACCACTCCTCAGGATTTAAAACAGCAGCACTACAACAAACATGTATATTTTATACGAATTTTGAGCTACATAATATAATAATAATAATAATAATAAAATAAATTAAGAACTTTTTATTGCATTGTCCTCTGTTTACTTTTAAATGAATGAGTGAATTCAAAGGAATCTCTCTATTGTTGTAGTTGTCTTTAAATCAGTAGTAGGCCTACACAAAAATGTGAACCACCGCTCTGTGGGATTTAAAACAGCAGCACCACAACAAATATATTATATGAGTTTTGATAAAGTGACAGTAAGAAATTAACTTTCTATTGCATTGTGCTTTAATTGAAAAATGGCACAATGATATTAAGCAGCTCCTGAAAATAAGCTAACTTCCACCAACATAACTAACGTGACCACCTGCTTGCACAGGGAGTGTGCCTTCCGTTGGAAGTTGGCTGGGGACTATTTTCAGGCACTGCGTGATATCATTGCGCCTGCTGCAGCCATGGTACGGCAGCAAAGTTCCTTGATTATTACACCGGAATGAGCGTATAGTTCCTAGCCATATCGGCCTAGAAAATCACAACTTTTCATTTTCCGTCGGTCTTAGTACACGATGTAACTACAGAAGAGTCAAGTTTTAAATAGGAAAAATATCGAAACTCTTTGGTCATTTTTGAGCGAGATGCTAATGGTCTAATCAGATTCAATGATCTATGCTAAGCTATAGCTAAAAGTGCTACCGCCAGACCCGGAGATCGGCTGAATGGATTCGAAAACGGTAAAACTCAACTGTTTAACTCTAGGGGAGTTGGAAAATTAGCCTATTTTCAAAAATAGTGGAGTGTTCCTTTAAAGTCAATAGCTATGTTTCCATCACCCTATTTTAATGCGCATTTTGAAGCATCGCATGAGAAACGAGTGATGGAAACGCCAAATTTCAAATTAAAAAACAACAATGTTTTTACACTCGCTTGAGGTGGTTTTTGACGTGTGTGAAAAAGGGTTGATGCGAATAATGGGGGATGGAAATGCATTTTGCGAATAAATTCCTCCAAGCGCATCAAAAAATTAATGTGACTTTGTGCTATGGGACGGCAAAACCTGACTAACCAGCGGATCGATCTCATTCCACAGCATCTGAAATGTTGTGTTGGTCATTCGGAAATGCACGAGCAAAGTCTGTCATCAAAGTATTTCTGTATAATTGCCTCCCAGAAATGTCTTACACGACTGCGTTCCCAAACAGCAGCATCCACCTCTGAAAGCAATGACCGCATTCACTGTGTTTCGTCTGCTCGCTCTGAGGCGCAAGTAATTTATGATATATAAAATTATTATATTCTCCTACTTTTCTTAGTGATTTATAGTGCCAATTTATCAGGAAGTGACGATTTTGTTCTCTGTGACTTGTTGGATTGACACGATGATTGTTCGCAAATGTTTTATGCGATATTTCAGTTTTGCGCACAAATTAAATTCGCAACTTTGGATGGAAACCCGGCTAGTGAGTCATTTGTTGAATCAGACTCAGTTAAACACAAGACTCATTCTGAATAATGAACTGAATCAATCAGATGACTCACTTCAGTGAATTACTGTAGCTTTCCCAGATAGCACATGTACGTCTGCAAGATGTCTGTTAAAGATCTCTTGATCTGGAAAGCATCTGCTTTGTACAAACATCTGACAGACGTCTTTCAGATGTCAGTTTTACATGCATTCTAAATCATAAACATCTTAAAGACATCTAATAGACGTCTATTTGACATCTAAAAGGAAACGTCCGTATTGCAGATGAGCAAACGCTCTAAAAAAATACGTCTTGCAGATGTAAATGCAGACGTCAAATAGACGTCTCCGAGATGTATGTGTGCTATCAGTGTTTGATAACTGCAGGTTTAAAATGCACAAATGTTAACATGTAAAAAATGCACAAAACTAAGTCCTCTTAGAAACTTGGAGTTTAATGTGTTTAATATGAGTAAATGTCTCTGTCTGCAGTACCTGGTCAGTGTCCCTCTCAGGATGTTCAGGCTGTGGGCATTTATGGGCATGATGGCACAGGTATGAATTTTTATATAAAAAAGCATTTATTTTCTTAAATTTAAAAATATATGTATATTTTTGTGAAAATGATCTAATTGTCTATCTTTTGTTTCTGTCAGTAACTTGTTTACAGTTTACTTTTTTTTTTTAATTGTTTCAGCTCCCACTGGCATGGTTTGTGGCCAGGTTTCTTCGTGGTAATTATGGAAACGCTGCTGTGTGGCTCTCACTCATTATTGGTCAGCCTATTACAGTACTGATGTATGTTCATGACTACTATGTTACCCACTGTCAGGATGACCCGACGATCGCCGAAGCTCTGTAATCACACTGTTGATCGTGGACTCGGCTAAGCAGCTAAACTTCAAAATATTGCTGTAAGACTTCTTCATATTGCAGAGGTACTAGTGGAAAGTACACTGATACAATTGAAGAGTCCCGGCAGTCAGGTTTCCATAAAGTCTTCAAATAAACTCAGCTCTAGGCTATGATTAAACCTTTAAGAACAATTACAACAGCCAGTCTATGCAATTCATGCCTAGAACTGCCAGTAGAAATGCACACGAGTCTTTACGCTTCTGAATGTGACTCTACAGGTGTCAAGTGCTCATTTTAGCTTCACTAATTGAAACTGTCTTTATTTTTCTAAGGGTGTGTTACATGCATTACTAGTAGGAACGTTCTGTCACTTTTTTAGCATTTTAACATCTGCATTTAGTTTAAATATAGTGAAAACTCTTTAAAATGGGCATGCTGGACTTTTATTATTGTACAAATATATGTTGTTCGGTTTTTGTTTTTAAATGAAATGCCAGTAAATTGATACAATATGCAAGGAGAGTATGTACGGACACAAATGTGTAATTTTTTTAATGAATTTTAAACCAATATGTGGGCAGACACTTTATTTGTTTATGTATGTTTTTTTTCTCCAAAGGGATACGAGAGAAAATGTTTGTTATATCCAAAGTATGTTACGTCCATATTTTATTTGTTACAATAATTTTGAATTGCATTTTTATGTATCTAAACTGTTGTACACTAGCGTTGAGATGCATCAAGAGTGCGCCTCCTTGTGGCGAATGTTGAGAATAAACAACCCTGCAACTGATGCAACTGTGGAGCCGTTATTTGTTTTTGTGGAGACATTTATCAAGCCTAATTGTATTCACTAGAGAGAACCGGATGCATTGTAATCTCGCAGTGTGTTATTTTTCACAGATCAGGCCCTTCCAGGGCAATTTGTCCTCGCATGATGAGGGTGCCAGATCCTCACAATCAGTGCAAGTTTGTGATAAATGGCTTTAGAGATGAGTCTTATAATAGCCACGGGTCATATTGTATGAGCATCCTATCGTGTTTGCCGCAGTGGCACAGACGCACTTCAGGAACTCGTGCTATCTGATAGGCTGATAGTGCTTCGCCGTGCTGCGATCTGTTTAGTATACATTGCCATACATAGAAAAGATTGGAACAGCCGAAGAATGATTACGGCGCAGAAAATCAATGCTGTATATGTCACTGTTTATTTAGTTAAACAGCTAATATCAAGTTTAAAACATCCCCACTTTGGGGTAAAATTTACTAGCCTATATAATAAGCTTAGCTAATGCAGGTAGGCTATACCCTTAAAAAGTTGGGGGTCAGTCCGTTTTTTAAAATTAAATTAATATTTTTATTCAGCCAGGATGGATTCAATTGGAAAAAAAGTGACAGTAAAGACCTTTATAATGTTACAAATTGATTCTTATTTCAAACAAATTGTTATTTTGACATTTCTATTCATCAAATCTGTTTTCACAAAAATAGGCCTAGCAGCACAAATATTAAGCAGTTTTCAACATTGATAATATTAATAAACATTAATAAAAAATGATTTCTGAAGAATCATCCTGAAGGCTGGAATAATGCTGCTGAAAATTCAGATTTGTCATCACAGAATTACAAATTACATATATACAGTATACCAATACAACAATGTAATACATGTTTGTTAAAATAATAATATAAGTAATGATTTCTTGTTGGAGTGTTCATGTCTATATTCTTAAGCATTTATTCTCGTCTTTGTTAAGATGACTTGAGGAGTGTGCGGGTCATTTGCAGGGCACTGACTGCACTGTCACTTCTGCTGTAACTGCACCAGAAAAGAAACAGAGACATATGACATTGATGTATTAGCCAACAGGGAGGAGATGACGTTTTTCCGCTCTGAAACAGGTACCCAGTCTGAAACTGCTGCTTTGACATTTGAAAAGTGTAAAAAAACAAAAAAACAACAACAGCCTTTTGGTTCAATACTGACATATATATTCTCTTTTGTGGGATTTCTAAAGACTGACCAGAAAACCATGATCTAGAGAGCACGCTCATAGGCCATGTCTTAAACGAGTGGTTTTCACATGATCTCTATCACTCATATATTAGACTCTTTGTTTTTGTTCTCTTGCTTATCTGATTTCTTTATTTCTTTCAAACCTCCTTTTTGATTTTTATATTTCTACGTTACTTTGTGGAAACATGGAATTGGAGAATTTTCATATACATTTCCATATTCCATAATATACTTTCATATTTTAATAAGTTTTGCAGCAGTTGACCTCTCTTTTCACTCAATAAACAAGTAGAACTTCCATTTCCACTGCATGAGTTTTAAGTCCCCAAAAAAGAGCACATAGAATATGACAAGAAAATGGTTATAATTAGTGCTGGGCATTGACGCACATTTAAAAACTATTTTAAATGAAGTTTCTACTCCAAAGAATTTTCTGAAATATAAACATTTAAACATTGGTTGTGATGATAACTTGTTTTCATGACATTTGTTCAAATATTAAATGCTGAAAAACGGATTACATAAGACATGATCAATTTCATTAAGTTGTACTGTATCGCTCAACATACTTTATAATGCTTACTCACGTTTATTTCATGTTATAACTAGCAGTAAAGAAGAAGATCGAAGTTTGTAATCTAGCTTGTAAGCAACTGGCTAGCTAAAGTTAGTACGCTAACTGACGGTTACAGTAATGCTCGTCAGTAAAAACTAATAAAATCTCCCTTTTCTTTTCCTCAAAAACGGCACTTCCGCCACCTACTGGTCTAGAGTTATTAGGGCACATAGTGGGATTTAATCCAACAAACTAGATGCTCTTAAGTACTGTTTACTAAAGTTGTTTAGTTTAAATATTGCATCCACCTGAAAGGTCACATAACACAGTGTAATTAATTAAATTCAACAAATTTGTAAAAATCAGTTATGTTTACTCGCTTTTCTTAAGTAGATTCAGTGATTACTTTTTACAGTGAGAAATGTGCAGGCCTTGTGACAACTAGCCCTGTTCTGATCCCCATAGCCTGGACAGACATAAACCCGGACGGGAATGTGTTCCAATCTCTGTATTATGTCACTGTGACCTCCTGTTGGTCTGGGATTGATGCATGGAGCTTCAGTCTTGATCTAATTCTAACCCATTCACCTAACAATGACCTTACAAAAAACACTTAATAAGATCTCTTCTGTTCTAGATGCTTATGGAACCAGAACACAGTTATTTAGTTACAAGCAGGACTCAGATTCCTATTGAATAACGTGCATGACTTTCAAGAGTTTATGGGCATTCTGTAAATGCCACATATACAAATATGATTCACATACTCCCAATGCTGTTAAACAGTATTGAGATAAAGGACAGCACACAGTTTCGGTGATTTAAAATCACTCTCAGTCACATTTGAACCTAACTTCATATATTTGGTTGGAGAAATTTCGGAAACATCAGGACAGAGCCTTGGCAGATGGTGATGGATGAGTTTCCAGACAGGAAATGTGGAAAAAGTGTCGACACGTCCAGCAGTATTAATACATCCTGTCATTTATTTTATCTGTCTTGCTGGCATTCTGACACCTTTAAAAATCTTTATGAAGGACTAAAGGAAAATTTTATTGACAACTAATAACTATACATTGTAACTTTTAGCATTTATTGTGTTTTTTCCAGGCCCCAAGTGCTGTTATACTGATTAAGCCTAAATTTTCTTTCAAATAATTCTAATATTGCGATTGCATTTAAAGCCTATGTTGAATTTTATTTTAGTAAACCACAGAGAAAACAATCACTGTATGAAAAGTATCATATCCCAGAATCCGGTATTTGTAATGTCAGGGTTTATCCAAACAAACTCAAACTTCCTGTGAGCGAGAGGATGAAGGGAGGGAAGGAAGGAAACAACAAAAGAGTGAAACAGACAGAGAGAGACAGAAAAAGAGACATGCAACATAGACAAGGTGGAGAGACTATCTTCTTTTTGCCTCTTCAAGGTGAAGATGTTCAACATGTTTGTAGCACAGGGGATTGGATTTTCATCATTTAAGTTTCTTTAAGATTTTGTTATCTTTAAGTGTTTTCGGCTCTAATTTGAGTGTCAGAGCAGTGGCCTTTGAACAGAACAGAACGCTTCTGTTTCACACTCCAGATCCAAATTCTCATCCGTCTGCATGTGCAGGTAAGCAATGACATTTTGCTGTGTGTGATTATTGTGTGATGATGCAGATTATTGTTGTGCTCTTAATGATACACAATTTTCATGGCTATTGTTTGCCATGCCGTCCTTGAATATTTTGTATTTTGGAAGTTCTTTTAAATGATTAAAATAATATATCAACAGTTATTTATATACATATACAATATAAAGTTATACACAGTTTGTGTGTGTGTACAATGCCATTAAAATAACAGTTTTCTGTTTTAATATACTTTAAAATATAATTTATTCTTGTGAAGCAAAGCTGAATTTTCAGCATCATTACTTCAGTCTTCAGTGTGACATGATCCTTCAGAAATCATTCTAATATGATTTATTATCAGTGCTGGGAACTGTTGTGCTGCTTCATATTTTTTTGGAACCTGTGATACTTTTTTTCAGGATTCTTTGATGAATAAAAAGTTAAAAAGAAGAGCATTTATTTAAAATAGAAATCTTTTCTAACAATATACACTACCGTTCAAAAGTTTGAGGTCAGTAAATTTGTATTCTTTCTTTTTAAAAAAAATAAATTAAAACTTTTATTCAGCAAGGATGTGTTAAATGGATAAAAAAGGGATAGTAAAGTCTTATATTGTTAGAAAAGATTTCTATTTTGAATAAATGCTGTTCTTTTTTAACCTTTTTAATTCATCAAAGAAAAAAAGTATCAAAGGTTCCAAAAATAATAATAAGCAGCACAATAGTTTCAAATCTGATGGTAATCAGAATATTAGAATGAATTCTGAAGGATGATGTGACACTGAAGACTGGAGTAATGGCTGATGAAAAATTAGCGTTGCGTCACAGAAATAAATTATATTTTAAAGTATATTAAAATTCGTAACCAATATTAGAAATTGCAATAATATTTCACAATATTACTGATTTTCTGTATTTTTTAATCAAATAAATACAGCCTTGATGAGCATAAGAGAGTCCATTAAAAAACAAAAAATCTAAATTAAAAATCTTACTAGATAAAAATCTAACACACACACACATATACTGTATATATATATATATACAGTGGGTACGGAAAGTATTCAGACCCCCTTAAATTTTTCACTCTTTGTTATATTGCAGCCATTGCTAAAATCATTTAAGTTAAATTTTTTTCCTCATTAATGTACACACAGCACACCATATTGACAGAAAAACACAGAATTGTTGACATTTTTGCAGATTTATTAAAAAAGAAAAACTGAAATATCACATGGTCCTAAGTATTCAGACCCTTTGCTGTGACACTCATATATTTAACTCAGGTGCTGTCCATTTCTTCTGATCATCCTTGAGATGGTTCTACACCTTCATTCGAGTCCAGCTGTGTTTGATTATACTGATTGGACTTGATAAGGAAAGCCACACACCTGTCTATATAAGACATTACAGCTCACAGTGCATGTCAGAGCAAATGAGAATCATAAGGTCAAAGGAACTGCCTGAAGAGCTCAGAAACAGAATTGTGGCAAGGCACAGATCTCGCCAAGGTTACAAAA